AAGAAAGTTGAATCGAGTCAGAGATGGAGAGGGAGAGAGGGGGAGAGAGAGAGGGAAAGAGAGAAAGCAGAAAGAATCAGAGTTCTATGCCTCTGAATAACGCCAGTATCAAATTAGACGCTGATAAATTCTCCGCCTCTAATGAAAGCAGGTCAATTTCAAAGAACTCTATTCAACACCAAAGCTAAGTACCTTAAATTATATATTTTCATTCATGGTGAATACAACCGTATAACTTTTACGTGAAAAAAAGAACTCTCTGAATTACTTTTAAACATTTTGGAATATTACTTTGAGCCCGATGACTTAACATGAATATTTTTCTCTTCTTGACATTTCATCGAAACAACTTTGTTTTTATGTGCCGTGTACTTTCAGGACGTAGGCGATCATGGCCCTCCACTTCTCTTGCGGCTCTCAATAAGTTTCGCGCATCTGCCAACTCTTACAGACCAAATTCTGCCACCAACTTGATTAAGCCCACCAGTTATGTCATGCGTTACTTTCCCTCTATTCGACCTGTGAGTATCAGATTCTCCAGGCCCTCTTTTCTCATTACTTGCCCAATAAATTTCATATGTCTCTTCCTTTTTGTTAAGTATAATCTTCCTCCTTGTTTGCATCCTCTCTAAGATCTCATGGTTGCTCACACGCTCGCCCCATGATATCCTTAGCATCCTTCGCTGCCTCGAGTCTATTTTCCATCTTTGAGGAGATAGCACACTTCTGTTATACAGTATTTATCTGCAACCTCTTGTTTTGTTATTTCTTAACCGATGACTTGATCACAACACCATTTTATGTATGAGTGGCCAGCCAGGAGTTGAAAAAGTTATTTTATGTATGAGTGGCCAGCTAGGAGTCCTGACTTAACGCTGCTGTATAGGACAGATGTCACGTAACAGTTCAGTACTTCTTTCGTCACCAAAGTAATCGTCGTGTCTTGCAGTACTCTGCCCGGATTTTGGAATGCATCCTTCGCCATCCCAGTCCCGTCTTCGGATCTCAGCGTCGCACTTACCGTCCTTCGTCAAAACACTTTCTAATTATTTCAACTTCTGCACATGCCTGATTTTAGTGCCCCCGACCTGCAAATCGCATTTCGAGCTCATTCTTTTCTGATGACTATGAATTCGTGACCTTGTATTTTATTGCTTAGTCCCTTCTTTTCGTTCTCCCTCGCTAACTTCTGTAGGGTTTTTTTTTAGTTTCATTTCCGTGTCTGCTATCAGTACTGTGTCATCTGCGTATCTTATGTTGGTAAGACTGTGGTCACCAATGCTGAATCCCGTTAGGATCTCCAATTCTCTCAGAATTGCCTTGCTGTGTAGGTTGAATAAGTCCGGTACGAACTTTAAATATTTGATTCGTTTTCCTTAAACCAGCTACTGATAACTCCACTTGTGTAAACATGAAAATAAAGTCCTTATCTTGTTTTGTTAAATATTACACGTGTGTTTCCTCTTCATTTCCCTCAAGTTCAACGGTTATTGTATTAGGTTGGTGCAAAAATAATGACGTAATAATGTTGTTTTTTGACGTATTTTTACCGTCCAAAAACGACATTATTACGTCATTATTTTTGCACCAACCTAATATTTGAACTCGAGTTTATTATTGTTCTATTGCAAGCTGCTTAACATTTTCCTGTAGTAAGTCGGTGGTTTCCATAAACAACAACAATAAAATTGCCTAGATCAAGACAAGATAACAAGCCACCACGTTCTTTTGCTGGGCCGAGCAATCTCACTACTGCGTAACAGCTGGGACGAGCAATCTCATTTCTGGATGACAGCTGAGACGAGCCAACTCACTACGGGATGAAAGCTGGGACGAGAATTCTCTCTACTGGGTGACAGCTTGGACGACAATCTCACTTTTTGGTGACAGCTGAGACGAGCAATCTCACTACAGGGTGACAGCTGGGACGAGAAATCTCACTACTGGGTGACAGCTGGGACGGGCAATCTGACTACTGGGTGACAGCTGGGACGAGCAATCTCACTACTGGGTAACTGCTGGGACGAACAATCTCACTACTGGGTGACAGCTGGGACAGGCAACCTCACTACTGAGTGACAGCTGAGACGAGCAATCTCACTACTGGGTAACAGCTGGGACGAGCAATCTCACTTCTGGATGACAACTTGGGACGAACAATCTCACTACTAAATGAAAGCTGGGACGAGAAATCCCTCTACTGGGTGACAGCTGGGTCGACAATCTCACTTCTTGGTGAGAGCTTGGACGAGGAATCTCTCTACTGGGTGACAGCTAGGACGAGCAATCTCAGACAATATGTCAACCGTGGAATTTATACGGGTCTAGTTAATTATAATTTTTACAAGAAATGGATAAGAAATGGAAGCCTTTAGCATGAGGTTTTATTTAAAATTCGATATGGGCACAAAATTTTGCTAGAAGCTTCTCGAGCTGTATTCGCCCTGTTTGAGCAGTATTCGCTCTGCAGGTTCTTCTAAAATCTTGGTTTGGTATCGTATAATTGCTACTTTAACTAACCCCCAAAGAAAAAAAGTTGCATGCTGTTAAGTCAGGACCCCTGGCTGTCCACTCGTACATACAATAGTGTTGTGACCAAATAATTGGTTAAGAAATAGCAAAACAAGAGGTTGCAGATAAATAGTGTATAACAGAATTGTGTTACACGACTTGGGTGTGTGTGTCGGTTGACCAGCGTTCAGTCAACCACTGTTATATTTAACAGCCCCCCCAACGAGGGATATATGTGGCACAAGGCCGAGTTTACCGTGGGTTCTCCTAGCCGGTTGGCTCTGCCAAAAATATTCCTTAGAACCCGCATAAACGGGTTCGGGATCTGTCTACCTCCCTGGACGAATAGCCTCGTCCGGGTTTCTCTCTGCTCAAGCCAGAGAGTTCGACAGTCGAACAGTTTAGATCACTGTTCCCACGAAGCTTACTTTCCTACTACATTATAGTAAGTGAAAGAGTCCACAATATCCTCATTAGAGGGAAGACAGCACAGCAAATAGGGAGTTACTTTTCATTCACTATATATATATATATATATATATATATGTGTGTGTGTGTGTGTGTGTGTGTGAAAAGTGTATATAAATATAAATAAATATATATATGTATAATTATTTATATATTATATGCGCGGTACTTATTAGAAAGCGCTCAATGTCAGAGATAGAGCTAACATATTTGGTTGGATAGATGTGAGTTTGTGACCCTGGGTTTCACGCTTTCGTCAGACAATCGCTAAGGCGTGAAACCCAGGCTCACAAACTCACATCTATCCAACCATATATATATATATATATATATATATATATATATATATATATATATATATATATATATAAGTTTGTGTCTGTGTGTGTGTAAATTATATTCAGAAAGAGTGGATCTTTCAATGAACACAATTAAAATACAATAGGAAAAACTATTCTTAACCGTCGCGTTTTGCCCTCAGACGAAATTTATCAAGGCAAATGTAGGATTTATCTTTGTTGCGCAATTATATACAAGATCAAGGATGCCATTGTTTTACGCAGGTTTTTAGAATTGAGAACGTTCATGAATATTCATCAAGTGATTGAAAGGTCAGTCAAAATATGTGGAGGTCACAAAGTGCCATAATTCAAAGTTTGTTAAAACAAACATATGCTAGTAATATTCAATATTTTTTTTAATAAATGAACATTGTTTAAATTTGATAACCATATTCACCATAGTCTATGAATATAGAATAGAGCGCAGTACGTAATCTGTTCAATAAAACAACGTTAAAGATTAACACTCACGAGTCAGACACTCTACTGAATCTGACTATATCGCCAATACCACCAGCAGTTGTTCCGTAATTCTTCAGACTTCGATATCAAAGGCTGGCAGTGAATATTCGGGAAAAACATGGCCGCCTTTATACACGTCGCATTGAATATTTTGAGCGTTCTGATTGGTTAACCCTTCTATTGGTGAACTATAAAATGAGTCAGCTCATTTTGGCTGGCTCATTAGTACTAGCTACCCAAAAATTCCAACAAAATTTTCATCAGATTGTTATGGCATGAGATAGACGAATATGTTGTATATATTCAAAAACATGAGGTAATAGATTTAAACGCGTACTTTTGATTTTTCTATATGTTTTTGCTCGCGTATGTTGACATGGATAAGTAGTAATTCTTTAGGAAAGGTGAGATCGGAAATCATCGAAATAGTCACAACCAATTTCAATACAATTATGAATATGATCAGAACTACAAACACGCATAATAATAATTCAGAAACATGCATATATAAAATAACCTGCCAAAACTGTTGGGAAAACATTAGAGAAATATGAAAAATCTTTTAAAAAGCATCTATGTTGTAACCTATTGAAGCTTACTGAATAGAATAATCACACAAAGGTTGGTAAGGAACAATAATATTTAAGACACGAGCAACACATTTAAAATTTGCCAGCGGTGATTAGAAGTATTCAATAGCTAGAAGTGAGTCAAATGAATTCCACAACGAATCTCCAACTGCAGACCAACATAGAGTATTTACCTTGTGAATGGGAACATATCCAATGTCGTCCGTACAACAATTTATGAACAAAAAAAGGACCTTATACATAACAGTTTATCAAGTGCACTAGTCATAGACAGAAATAAAATCAACAACACGTTTGGTCTAAAAAATGCCAGACATATCAAAACAGAAACGAATTTTCCCAGAAGAAAAATTCTAGAGAGTGCCGCTATCGTATCTTATGAAAATATAAATCTACGCGCCGGTTTATTTCTCTCGTCAAATATTATTTCTTTCTTTCTTTCCCTACTTTTTCTTTGTATGTTTCGTAAAATATAAAGTTTTTCGTTCTTTCTTATATTCTTTCTTTCTTTCTTTTTCTTATATTCTTTCTTTTTCTTATATTCTTTCTTTCTTCCATTCATTCTTTTTTTCTTTCTCCCGCCAAATATTGTTTCTTTCTTTATATATTTCTTTCTTCTATTTCTTCAATGCTTCTCGCTTCGTCAAATATTCCTTCTTTCCTTCTCTCTTCATCATATATTTTCTTTCTTTCTTTCTTTCTTTCTTTCTTTCTTTCTTTCTTTCTCCACCCTCTGAAATATAGTGTATTTCTTTCTGTATTTTTTCTTACATTCTTTCTATTTTACGTCTAATATTCTTTCTTTCTTTCTTTCTTTCTTTCTTTCTTTCTTTCTTTCTTTCTTTCTTTCTTTCTTTCTTTCTTCACCCTCTGAAATATAGTGTATTTCTTTCTGTATTTTTTCTTACATTCTTTCTATTTTACATCTAATATTCTTTCTTTCTTTCTTTCTTTCTTTCTTTCTTTCTTTCTTTCTTTCTTTCTTTCTTTCTTCACCCTCTGAAATATAGTGTATTTCTTTCTGTATTTTTTCTTACATTCTTTCTATTTTACGTCTTTTTCTTTCTTTTCTTTCTTTCTTTTTTTTCTTTCTTCTTCATTCTGAAATATAGTGTATTTCTTTCTGTATTTTTTCTTCTTTCTTTCTATTTTTTCTAATATTTCTTTCTTTCTTTCTTTCTTTCTTTCTTTCTTTCTCCACCCTCTGAAATATAGTGTATTTCTTTCTGTATTTTTTCTTACATTCTTTCTATTTTACGTCTAATATTCTTTCTTTCTTTCTTTCTTTCTTTCTTTCTTTCTTTCTTTCTCCACCCTCTGAAATATAGTGTATTTCTTTCTGTATTTTTTCTTACATTCTTTCTATTTTACGTCTAATATTCTTTCTTTCTTTCTTTCTTTCTTTCTTTCTTTCTTTCTTTCTTTCTTTCTTTCTTTCTTTCTTTCTCCACCCTCTGAAATATAGTGTATTTCTTTATGTATTTTTTCTTACTTTCTTTCTATTTTACGTCTAATATTCTTTCTTTATTTCTTTCTTTCTTTCTTTCTTTCTTTCTTTCTTTCTTTCTTTCTTTCTTTCTTTCTCCCCTCAAATATTGTGTGTTTGTTTATTTCATTCTTTTATGTACAATTTACTCATGTTCCTCTTTATCATCGCATGAAACATGAATAAATTTGGAATATATTTAAAGTTTAGTTTAGTGGCACAAATCTTAACCGATAGGTGGGAGGAGAGTAAGATTCAAACCTTTCCTAAATACGAATTCCGAAATACAACAAACCAAACGAGATTTGGGACTTGGCTCTGCGATAAACAATTCCATTATTAACATTACACTGGCCGCATATCCAGGCTTAGAGCATCTGGTATCCTCAAGCGATCACCCATTTTTAATTTTTGACCAGTTGCTTAACTTCGCTGTTTTCTCCAGGAAATGGTGTTTCACGTCCTTTTTTCAAGTCCTGGTTCAGGGATTATTCACTCAGGATAAGCTTAAGCCAATATCCCAGAAATTCAAAGAATTTTTTCCACCAGGATTGAGTAAAAAAAAGTAACCCACTTGTTCTTGTTTTCAAAAGGAACATTATTTGCAACAATATGAATGTTGTAGTAGTTGGAAAAAACTTAATGAAATCATTAGTTTTTTTTTCTGCTATTCAAAATGGAATATAAGAAGTCAGTAACTATCCTTTCTATCACCACTTAATGTCTCCACATAATGTCTCCTTTTGCAGAATGAAAAAGAAAGAAAGAAAGAAAGGTACCACTAGAATAAACACACAACACAAAAGACAGTCGGCCATTTTGTTTTTTAGTCATCGAGTAATTTTCACTTAAAAATGGAAAAATATCAATTAGTATCAAACTAAATATGACAGTTTCTCCCAGACTCCATATATCGAAATGAAAATCAGACATTCTAAAAACGAAGCAGTTTGTGCCTCGAGTCTGTAATTGTTTTTGCTTGTTTTATCGTAATTTTCTGTTTCTGATGTGTAAATGAATTACTTTGTAATTTTTCATCTCTAATTTCCAATATGGTTGCTTCTTAAAAAAACATTTTTCTAATTTTTTTTTTAAATTTTAATATTCTTTTACCCACTTTCTAGCTTTATTTCGAATTTAAATCAAATAAAAAAAAATAAGGAGGAAAAATAAGGAGGAAATATGCAAAATAATCTTTTTAAAACACCATTAATCAATAGGACGTTGGGAATTTTTCAAAATCCCATTTAAGAAGAATAATATTAAAAAGGTCTCCATGATTAAGAAATGCTTCATTTTGTTTTCCCTTTTTCCATTTTTGTTAATATAATTCTTTCTTATTTTTTTCCTTTCCTATTGTTTTTTTTTCTTTCTCTCTTTTTCTTTATTTTTCCCATTTTCTTTCTTTCTTTCTTTCTTTCTTTCTTTCTTTCTATATAATTTACTCTAATGTAATGTCAAATAATTGTTGGCGTCACATGAAAATAACTGTAAGTAAAATGCTACATTAAATAAGTAACCTGATAATAATTTTAATTCTATGAATATCAATATATTTTAATTTTTCTTCTTTCTTTAATTTTTACTTCTTCCTCAAAAGTTTATTATTTTATATTTATTTTGCAGTGTTCACTAAAACATTTTTTTACATTCTTCCGTCATATATTCTTCCTTTCTACCTTCCTTTTTAGCGTCAAATATAGTGTTTTTTTATTTATTTCATAAGATATTCTTTCTTTCTTTCTTTCTTTCTTTCTTTCTTTCTTTCTTTCTTTCTTTCTCCGTCCAATATTTTCTTTCTTTCTTTCTTGTCGGCAGATATAATTTATTTATTTCTCCGGCCAGTATCCTTTCCTTATTTGGCCAGATATTATTTCTTTCTTTCTTTTCCGTCCAATATTCTTTCTTTTTTTCTTTCTTTCCTTCTTTCTTTCTTTCTTTCTTTCTTTCTTTCTTTCTTTCTTTCTTTCTTTCGTCATATATTCTTCCTTTCTGCCTTCCTTTTTAGCGTCAAATATAGTTTTTATTTATTTATTTCATAAGATATTCTCTCTTTCTTTATTTTTTTCTTTCTTTCTTTCTTTCTTTCTTTCTTTCTTTCTTTCTTTCTTTCTTTCTTTCTCCGTCCAATATTTTTTTTTTCTTTCTTTCTTGTCGGCAGATAAAATATATTTATTTCTCCGGCCAGTATCCTTTCCTTATTTTGCCAGATATTATTTCTTTCTTTCTTTTCCGTCCAATATTCTTTCTTTCTTTCTTTTTCTTTCTTTCTTTCTTTCCTTTTCGTCATATATAATCCTTTCTACCTTCCTTTTTAGCGTCAAATATAGTTTTTTTTATTTATTTCATAAGATATTCTTTCTTTCTTTCTTTCTTTCTTTCTTTCTTTCTTTCTTTCTTTCTTTCTTTCTCCGTCCAATATTTTCTTTCTTTCTTTCTTGTCGTCAGATATAATTTATTTATTTCTCCGGCCAGTATCCTTTCCTTATTTGGCCAGATATTATTTCTTTCTTTTTTTTCCGTCCAATATTCTTTCTTTTTTTTTTCTTTCTTTCTTTCTTTCTTTCTTTCTTTCTTTCTTTCTTTCTTTCGTCATATATTCTTCCTTTCTGCCTTCCTTTTTAGCGTCAAATATAGTTTTTATTTATTTATTTCATAAGATATTCTCTCTTTCTTTCTTTCTTTCTTTCTTTCTTTCTTTCTTTCTTTCTTTCTTTCTCCGTCCAATATTTTTTTTTCTTTCTTTCTTGTCGGCAGATAAAATATATTTATTTCTCCGGCCAGTATCCTTTCCTTATTTTGCCAGATATTATTTCTTTCTTTCTTTTCCGTCCAATATTCTTTCTTTCTTTCTTTCTTTCTTTCTTTCTTTCTTTCTTTCTTTCTTTCTTTCTTTCTTTTTTCTTTCTTCTCAAAAGTGAATCAAAATGTCCAAGCGTCAAAATAGGTTTTTTTAATTTATTTAATGATATTTTTTCAAAATAATTATTTCTTTCAATATATTTTCTTGGAAAAAATCTTTCTCCACCAATATTTTAATTTTCTTTCTTTATTATTACCAGCAATATATTATTACCAGCAATACACTTTTGAACAAAAATTTAACAATATTCTTTTTTTTCTTAAATCTTTCTTACTTTCTTTCTTCTTTCTTTTTTCAGCCTTTCTTTTAAACCAATTGAGATCGAAATGCCGTAAAACAAACAAAACCAAACCAAAGAAAAAAATATTACCAGCAATAAATATCTTGAAAAATATTACCATAACCATTGAGGTTGATATATTAAAACAAACCAAACCAAATCAAAAATATTAACAACAATAAGAATTTTGAACAAAAATATAACCCATTGATTTTGATATGAATAACCAAACCAAACCAAAAAATACTACAGCAATAAAAATCTTGTCAGCCTTAAATAACCCATTGAGATCGATATGCCGTAAAACAAACAAAACCAAACCAAACCAAAAATATTACCAGCAATAAAAAATTTTGTCATCCATAAACCATTGAGGTTGATATGCCATAAAAAAACCAAATCAAAAATATTACCAACAATAAAAATCTTGTCAGCCATAACCCATTGAAGTTGATATGCCGTAAAAACAAACCAAACCAAACCAAACCAAACCAAAAAAAATATTAACAACAATAAAAATCTTGTCAGCCATAACCCATTGAGGTTGCTATGCCATAAAACAAACCAAACCAAACCAAACCAAACCAAAAAATATTACCAGCAATAAAAATTTTGTCATCCATAAACCATTGAGGTTGATATGCCAAAAAAAAACCAAATCAAAAATATTACCAGCAATAAAAATCTTGTCAGCCATAACCCATTGAAGTTGATATGCCGTAAAACAAACCAAACCAAACCTAACCAAACCAAACCAAAAATATTAACAACAATAAGAATCTTGTCAGCCATAACCCATTGAGGTTGATATGCCATAAAACAAACCAAACCAAACCAAACCAAACCAAAAATATTACCAGCAATAAAAATTTTGTCATCCATAAACCATTGAGGTTGATATGCCATAAAAAAAAACCAAATCAAAAATATTACCAGCAATAAAAATCTTGTCAGCCATAACCCATTGAAGTTGATATGCCGTAAAACAAACCAAACCAAACCTAACCAAACCTAACCAAACCAAACCAAAAATATTAACAACAATAAGAATCTTGTCAGCCATAACCCATTGAGATTGATATGCCGTAAAACAAACAAAACCAAACTGAACCAAACTGAACCAAACCAAACCAGAGCTTACTTTCTTTTTGTTAGGTATAATTTTTATCTTCTTATTCCTTATTATATTATGACACCCACGCAGCAGAATCAGGCCCGAGATAGGACAAGAACAGTGCAGGTTCGATAAAGACACCGGTACAAGTAACGCCATATTCATGCTAGAATGTTACAAGAAAGAGCTAATACAAATGCAGAATTACATTTACCTATGTTTCATAAACTACGACAAAGTATGCCACAAGGATCTTTTGGAACTGCTCAGTAACCTTGATATATTAGGGATTGATGTTAGAATAATCAAGACCTTATACTGGCAGCAAACAGCACGCATGCGCATAGAGAACAAGTACAGTAAATATACAAAAATAGAAAAGGATGGTAGGCAAGGATGCGTCTTCTTTCCAGATCTATTCAACCTATACAGCGAGGCAACTCTAAGAGAACTGGAAATCCTACTGGGATTCAACATTGTCGGCCATAACCTTAACAACATATGATACGGAGATGGCACAGTACTGATAGAAGACAAAGAAATATCAAAACATCCTGCAGAAGGGGGCGAAGGAGAGCGAGAAGAAGGGACTAAGCATAAACTACAAGAAGATAGAACACATGGTCATGAGTAAAAAGAGGAGGCCGAAATGCGATTTGAAGGTCGGTGACCTAAATCAAGCAAGTGCAAAAGTTTAAATACCTGCGAAGTATTTTGACGTCTAAGTGGGAGACTGAGATCTGTAGACGTACTGGGAAGGCCAAAAGCTGGGCATAGTATTGCGAGACAGAAGGATTTCTTTGGTAACAATGAAAACAGTATTGAGCTCTTACTTGACATCTGTGCTCCTTTATCGCAACGAACGTTGGACGATCTCCCCAAAGATAAAGAAGAGACTCGAGGCAGCGGATATGTGTTTCTACATAAGCATGCTAAGGATATCCTGGACCGAGCGTATGAACAACGATGGCGTTTTAGAGAGGATGCAAGAAGGAGTCTTATACTTAACATCAGGAAGAGGCAGCTGAAGTTTCTGAAACACATAATGAAAATGGAAGGCCTAGAAAATCACAAGTCGAATAGAAGGACAGAGAGACAAGGGAAATCAACGTATGTCACACCTGTCAGGCTTAAGTAAGTAGATGACAGAACTTAGTCTGAGGAAGGTGGAAGATAGGACGAATCTTATTGATTGCTACAAGGAGTAGGAGGAAGTGGAGTGCCATGATTGCCTACGTCCTGAAAGGACATGACATATAAAAAGAAAAACAATATTATTTGTTTCTTTTATTTGAAACAGGTCGTTCTCGTATCATCACCGAACTTAAGCATCATCGACCCTCGTCAGTAACTAGATGGGTGACCGTTGTCGAATTCCAGGTACAGTAAGCTTGGTGGTGTGGGTAGTTTAATGGAGAACGGTACCGAACTGGAAATCAGGGTACCATGTTCCAATTCCAGTCGGGTGGATTATATCCATTTACGCGCAAATACACTTGAAAAAAGTATGAACCCACCTCTTTTCCCCCTGCTATGGGTTAAATAGTAGGATTTGTATCAGTAAACCATTATTATCTACAAAGAATTCTTATAAATCTGGAAATATTTTTTGGTTTGAAATAATCCCCAACGTGTTCATAAGCCGTAAGAGACAAATCAGTCAATAAGTCTTTTGTTTTATTATTAATTTTATCTACTAGAGTGTGTTCCACTAAATTGTACCGATTTTAAATGTGAATCAAGTTTAAGCGTCTAGTGACTTTTTTCTTTTTCTTTCAGATTTAACAACTTAAGTCGTTGGCAATTACAACCATGGCAAGATTAACAATCAGCCAACGTGCCAAAGTTATCGAAGGCGATTACGAAAATGGACGTTCAAACAGAAATACATTTCGCGCACTTCGCGAATTTTTGCTCAACATAAGCGACCAACCTAGAGTGCAGTTGGAAAAATTGTTCGTAAATTCAAACAAACTGGATCGGTGGCATTTGTGAAAACACCATTACGTGCTCGTTTACGCCGTTCAGCTGAAAACGTTGCTGCAGTGCACGAGAATGTGGCCAAAAATCCAGACACCTCTATTCGTCATCGCGCGCAGGAATTGAACCTCTGCACAACAACGTTACATCGAATTTTGACAATAGATTTGTCTCTACACGCTTACTAAATTCAATTAACACAAGAACTGAAACCTGCTGACCACTTGGAGCGCCGTACATTCGTTGATTGGTTCAACGAGCAAAGACAAGCCGATGAAGATTTTTCGCAAAAAAATCGTCTTTAGTAATGAAGCACATTTTCATCTTGGTGGATTCGTTAATAAGCAGAATTGTCGCATTTGGGCTGATGACAATCCAAGGAAGATTGTTGAAAAGCCACTGCATCCATGAAAAGGTCACTGTTTGGTGAGCATGTTTGCTTGCAAAATCATTGGTCTGTATATTTATAAATTTGAACGTCCATTTTCGTAAAAAGGCTTCGATAACGTTAACCCGTTGATTGATTGTTAAACTTTCCATGGTTGAAATTTCCAAAGGCTTAAATCTGAAAGAAAAAAAAAAAAAAAATATATCACGAGACGCTTAAACTTAATTCACATTTAAAATCGGTCCAAGCTATTGGAACAGCCTATATTACCTTAATTTTCAATATTTGTTCTCTCGTTTTAATTCTTTCTTTTTCTCTAGCATATAATTTAACTTGAAACAAGAGGAATGCGGTTCTACAGAAGGATGCTGATAATACCGTGGAGCGAATATAACATCGGGAAGAGAATGTTGAAATTTCTAAGATAAATAATAATGCGAAAAGTGGTCTTGAAAATCTGATATTCACAGGACAGATTGAAAAGAATAGGCACGAAAGAAAGACACAAGACATACCTAATGAGCTTGAGAAAATGGATCATAGAAGAAGGTTTAGGAGAAATCAGAAGCGATAAAATTTATTAAAAGCTACGCAGGACAGCAAATTGTAGAGATCCATGAAGGGACATAAAAAGAATGCTAGGTTAGCAGCTGGATTTCACCATTTTACAGTTGAAATTGTTAGAGGTAACCGTAAGTTCTATGCTGACGTTTTCTTCACTCGGACTTATCGGTTATAGGACATTCTTCCGGTTTTTCGAATCAATTTTGCTCTTCAAAACATTAAATGCAATATCAATCGTCATGTTCTGTATAATTGTAACCCTTTCTTTTATTTTTTTATCTCCTTAATAAGGACTTTTTTCTCGGTTTATTTCACCCTCAATAACTCGTTGCATGTTACTGACCTTATCTTCTTACGTGGGGAGAAATGATTGTTAAGTAAAATCTTGCGTACATCTATAGCTACAAGTTTTTGCTTCTAAATCTCGCTTTTAAATAATCGTAATGTTACATTTTAAATTGAAATCATTAGCCTGTTATATAGAAATTCTTGATAAAATCCCAAGAAGTATCTGCAATGTTATTAGTCCTGACCTGGCATTTCAACTTCAATCACTTTCCTATCGGGTTAATGTAGATTCCATGTTATTTTTTCTATAAATACTTCCAAGGTAATTGTTCTAATGGACGTTCCTCTATAGTATCTGGATTTTACGAATTTAAGCGTGCTACAAGGTATCATCATTTTACAGTTGAAATGGCTGGATGTAACCGTAAGTTCTTTGCTAACAGT